GCCAACATTTTAAACATAACAAATGTGACCCGATTTGAATGAAAATGATTCACTTATGTAAAAGTAAATATGACGTTTTGCGAAAAATATGTACGTGATGGAGAAAAATGGATACCATTTTCGGATTCAGCGTAAAGGAATTACTGTAGAACATGTAAAAATTTCAAGACAATAAAACCATCGCAGGCCTGTGTAATAACTAAGCAATATTAGGTACTGAACCGCTATGTTTATAAGTTTGAGAAACGGGAACGCAAACATCTTGCAATAATTTTTACGCCCTAAAGATCATTTCCTTTTTGGACAATTATACTTGTTTATTTTTTTGAAACTACATATATACGATCATCACCCATGAACCTAGAGACACTATAATTTATCGTTTTTTGTTTAGAACAAAATACATAAACATTAGAAATCATAAGTAGAAAACATTCTATTTAAGTAACTCACAACCGTTTGAATTTTACTAGTCAAATGCCACGTGTCTCTCTTTTGCAGAGAAAGGATTACAGAGTTTTAAAATTTTTCAAACCTGGACACGAGCTTCAGTAAGCTTAGTTCTTTGGGCCAGTTCTTCCCTTGTATACACATCCGGGTACTGAGTTCTTTCGAATGTACGTTCCAGATATTCCAGCTGTTCTTCAGTAAAAGCAGTTCGGGAACGTCTTTCTTTTCTCTTTAACGGAATGCCCGGTTCATACTCACAGTCGGACTCTTCATTATTCGTAGGACCTAAAGAGACAAAAAAGGTTTGAATATCCCAAACATATTACAAATTAAAATTTATGCTAAATAAGTTTTACTTAAGTGAATAAAGAAAATAAGAAAATTCAAATTTTACATGCGTAGACTTAAAATTTGTGGTTTAAAAATTATACACTGTATACAAGTTAAAAACAACAACAACAAACAGCATGACACAGCAACTCAAAACTTTTAATAGTTACATCTCAATGGCCTAAATTGACGTTGTGGATATTTAAAACAAGGATCTGTCGCCTCTTCTATCGTAAAACCCCCCAGTGGCACAGCGGTATGTCTGCGGACTTACAACGCTAGAAACCGGGTCTCGATACCCGTGGTGGGCAGAGCACAGATAGCCCATTGTGTAGCTTTGTGCATAACTTCAAACAAACAAACAAATCTATCGTAAAATACTGGTCTTATTTCAACTAAATAGCCGTTTTTTTTATGGTGATTTGGTCGGAAGGTCTAAGATTTAGGCTCGTGTTATGCCGCTAAACACGCTCCACAATTTCAGCTGTGAACGTCTTATAAAGTAACATTTAATCCCACAGTTCGTTAAGAGTAGCCGCGCAGGCGGCAGATGTTGCTGACTGATCGTCCTCCCTCTGAATTGCGAACGGCCGTGCTTGATTGAACCTTGGGGTTTGTGACCATGTTTCTCATAAAGTGTTGTGTAGGTCGTGAATATCAAATACCGGGATTTAATCTTAACGTATAGTTTTTAAAAAAGCTTAACTTACAAAAAAACAATTAAAGCCTCCTGACGACACATATACATTATGTATATGATATTTAGCTATTTTGTCATAAACATTAGTTGAGATGAAAATGACTCACTAAAATGTAATAATTCAGTATAAGGAGTTGATATAATCAGAGAAAAACAACTATAATTTCAGGACGTTAACGTTCTCCATGTACAAGTTGCTGTGCCATACAAGTCTATCATAAATTAACTTAATTAGTCAACACAACATAATTTATTTAATAATAATAGTAATGGGGGGGGGGGCGAGCGTGAAATTAAAAAAATCGTCACGTTCCAAAAGTCGCACGCTCAGTTGGTAACCATTTAGTTATCTCTAAAGCAAATAATTTTATGACCAACGGGAAAAAAATGGCGAAAAGTTCTGGTAATCATTCTTCGCTAATCGCTTAGCATCTACAAAGTGTTAAATTTTATAGATTTCTCTTAGTATGATGTCGTGACGAACGAGCTTTCCTCCACAGTTTTCAGAACAAGTGGGAAATGGAACCATAGAAGCTCCATGTTCCGTTTCAAATCTTAGCTTCGTGACCATTTGGGGGGAAATTCACAGCATTTACAAATAACGATTTGGAAAATTAGCTTTTAAACATTTTAATTTATATGTATAAAGTGGTGTTCATTCATACACCCTGTAAACCGAATTCCAAAGAATGTAAAGAAAGAATACATTATTTTATAGATATGAAAATTATGACTGCTGCAAAAGAACAGGAAAAATATTATACTGACAAAATATATGTCTGAAAAAGAATTACACAGTTTTTGTTGTTGTTGTTAAACTGATAACGAGGTCTCTACAAAGGATTGGAGAATGTCTTCTATTAAATTGTTTACAAGATTTTTACAACAATTTTACATACACAGATTACAAAATAGTTGCCCCCCAGTGGCACAGCGGTATGTCTGCGGACTTACAACGCTAGAAACCGAGTTTCGATAACCGTGGTGGGCAGAGCACACATAGCCCATTGTGTAGCTTTGTGCATAATTACAAAATACTTTGCAATGAAAGAATAAAGCATCTACAAAGTGTTAAATTTTATAGATTTCTCTTAGTATGATGTCGTGACGAACGAGCTTTCCTCCACAGGAATGAAAGAATAAAGTGTATTCTTTTACACTGGTTGTACAAGGTTCTGCAGAAGAATGGTAAACGTTTCTATTACACCGAATCCAAGATCTAAAATGGTCAATAAATTTATTTTATGATATCAATTTACAAAACAGTTCAAAGAAATGGAAAATATCTTATATTGGTTGCAAAATTGACTGTAAAACAAGATAACTCGATATTCCTGTTGTTTACTGATTACAGGACTGACTGATTGATTGGCCCGGGCGTGGTCTAGTGGTTTCCTTCCGTAGGTCAGAGATAAGTTTACGAATTTAAAACGCCAAAATCCGGGGTTCCATTCCTCGGTGTGGACGGAGTGAAGATAGCCAGTGTGTAGAGTTGCACTAAGAAAACAACAGCCCAGTTGTTAGCGTGTCGAACTGTGGATTCGGTGGTCCAATATTTTCGTTCCGTTAATGCAAAAATGTGCTCCGCACTTTGTGTTCGTGGGTGCGTTATAAGAGTCACAGCCCAACTCCACTAATCAATTAGAGCAGCATAAAAGTTGGTGGTGGTATTGTTTATTAATGCTTTCCGTTTATTCTATCAACTAAAAGCTATAGACGTGTAGCACAGATATTCTTTGTGCAGCTTATGCAAAATTTCTGTAACAAACAATGACACGAATTGTAACCTAATCTGTGTAGGAACGGAAAATATGTTCTTTCTAATACTGCTTACAAAACCTTTCACAGAAAGGAAACACATTTCATTCCAGTGATTATGAAACTGTACGCAAAGAAATAGTAAAGTTTCTCTATTACACATTTTCTTGGTATTTATGAAAGAAGAATAAATGTCTTTTATTATACGACGTATAAGGCTGTATGCAGAGGTAAGGAAAACATATTTTATTATACTTATTAGAAGGCTGTTTGCAAAACATCGAGAAAGGAAAAAAAAATTCAAGTGTACTGTTTACAAGAGTGTTTTATTAGTTTTCTGTTAGCGCAACACTGTACAATAGGCCATCTGCGCTATGCCCATCGCAGGGATTGAGCGCAACATTTTACCGTTATAAGCCATCACGTTACGATGAGCCACCAGGGAGAGGACTGAAACATGTCAGCAAATGACTTGAAAATGCCTTCTCTTACGTTGATTACAAAACTGACCGTTGGAGAATGGAAAATATCTTTCATTACAAGATTCTGTTTAAAGGACTGGGAAATACTTTATGTTGTACTCATTATAATAATGATCAATAAGAAACGATAAATATCTATCATTATATTGGTTTAAAAACTAATTAAACGAAATGATAAGTGGAAATGTATTCTTTTATACAGCTTACAAGAGTATTCATAAGGAAAATGGAAATATTCACTGTTAGTTTATACGATTGTCACAAAGGAATTAGAAATGTATTCCATTACACTGATTAAAAAACTGTTTGGATAAAATGAATTGTCTTCCGCTACTGTGATTACAAAATTGTCTGTGGAGAAACGGGATTGTCTTTTGATAGAGGTATTACAAAACCGTGTAAGCAGATGATGTATGCCTTCTGTTACATTGATTTCAAAACTGTCTATGAAGGAATGGGAATTGCCTTTTATTATATTTATTGCAAGATTGTTTTTGAAAAGCAAATCTCTTCTATTATGCTGATTACAAAACTGGCTGCAAAATAACCGAAGACGTATTCTATTCTATTGATAGCAATTCTGCTTATAAAAATTGAGAAATGTCTTCTATTATACAGAATACAAAACTGTCTGAACATTTGGGAAATGTCTTCTATTATACAGAATACAAAACTGTCTGAACATTTGGGAAATGTCTTCTATTATACAGAATACAAAACTGTCTGAACATTTGAGAAAGGTCTTCTATTATACAGAATACAAAACTGTCTGAACATTTGGGAAATGT